TATAGAACCCATTATAATCAGTGATACTATCTACAATGGATGCGGACAGTAAAGTGATGCCCCGGTATATTTCTGACGTACAGTTTTTTTGACGTACAAAACGTATTTGCCAATCATTACAAGCGATGTAACACGTCCAGTATAGTCTGTCCCAAGCTGTTGCGGCGTTGTAGACACGGTGCAGGACAAATCTTGTCAATCCAAATGTAAGAAGTGAGGAAAATAAAACAACCTCAATGGAATGGCGCCACAGAGGCCGTTACGGCAAATACAGTAGTATACAGCAATTTTAAAAAATACAGTAAGTCACTGTATGTGGAGTTTGACGTCACATAAAATTTCCATGATGCAAAAGGTATTACAGTTACTTACTGTAAATGGAATTTGCAGTATTGTACTGGGGGGTATACAGTAAATAACTCTAGAAATTACAGAAATGTCTAACAGATGTAACTATAACACTATTATAGCCGCTGCGCATCTCCATTCAAACACAGCGGTGTTTTGTTTATGAATGAACTTGCATTTTTAAAGAATCTAGTGAGTCAGTGTTTCATTTTTACCCATTCATAAAGACAGTCATTTGCTTCGTTCCTGAATGAATCAGCCGTTCATACATTAATCTCAACATGAATTTATGGATTTAATTGCACTCATGCCACCTCTGAGCCTCATTAAATGTCTGAAAATACTCCACCGCACAAGTGCTCCTAAAAAGAAAAGTAAGCGTAGAGCCCTGCATTTTTCATTTAATGACTTTTGTTTGGTAACGGGTCGTTCACACTTCTGCATTTTAGATTATCACTAGTGTTGTTTTTGGCGGCCTGTTTTAATTTTAGTTTTAGTCTAGTCTTTGTGTGAAGCTGTCATTTTAGTTTTCATTAGTTTTAGTCATGTTCATACTCTTTTTAGTCTAGTCAAGTTTTAGTCAACTAAAAGTCTGAGCATTTTAGTCTTATTTTAGTCAGAATTATCCATGACTATTTTCGTCTAGTTTTAGTCGACGAAAACTGATGACATTT